TGTGCAATCATTTTTAGAACAAGATTCTTTTTTTCCTTTTCCCATGTGGCAGTCCTTCCTGCAAATAGTTGACATTCCTAGTAAGGTATTTGCTTGTTGAAAAAAAAAGCATATAACAGATGTGTTTATACCAAAGAGCCTGTTGTATTGCTTACCATGTCCCCATACTATGAGGAGGAGTTTTGTCGTGCCACTGATGACAAGGAACTCAGAGAAAGGTTTCTTAGCCAGTGAAGAATATCAAGAAGGAACCAAAGCCTGTGGAGACATTGGGGCTTTTGAGGTTTCTTTTAAACAACTTGTATATTCTTGGGGGCCCTTCAAGCTGTGAAACTGTCCTTATATTCTCAGCTCCTGCATGGATCTGGGTGAGGTAGAAGGTACTGGGGATGGGGACATTCCTGCCCATAAAGGATTTGGAGGAATAGGACATTCATATGGATGTCCCTACGATACAGATGTGTTCCATCTGAATTGAAAATCATATATTTGAAAGATAATTCTAAGAGTGGTTCTGTATAGAGATGGTGTCAAGGAGGTGCAGGGTGGAGATGGGAGATTTCTGGAGCCTGGTCAGCAAGCTCTGTACCGGGTTGAACACCGAGGAGCTGTCAGAGTATTTGGAGATTCTTTGTTGTAAGGAGTAAGGGCTTCCAGGATGGGGCAGGTAGTCAGTACAGCCTACCAGAACATGTGTCTTCTCTATGTTTTCATCATTGTATTGAGTTGTGTTTGTTGTGTTTTCAGACGGCACAAGACTGCCAAGCAGTTTTGTGTAGTTTCTGTTGCCAGTGTTACGCAGTTTTCTAGTAATTGTATGTGGGCTCTGTGTCTCCTTTTTACTAAGCACATTCTGATTTTCTTGTTTAAATGCAGGTTTAGTTTCTAATGGTAACGTTTTTTGTTCCTTATCTTTCCTCTACAAGGACAAGATTTGTTGTTTTTGTAAGAAATGAGATGCAGAAAAATCAAAACTCCACTCCTGCCCCCCCATAAATAGATTCCATTTAAGATAGGAGTCTGATGCCACAGAAAAAGGTAATACAAGAGCTTGTATCATACTTGAGTCACCTGACTAGTAGTGTGTGATTAAAAAATTTAGAAATTTTCAGTCTTACTCTGCAAACTGGCATTGCAGATTTACCAAGATCCGCCCTGTATCTGCTGAATGTGTATGTCCTTAATGTAGCTTTCAGTTCTGTCCCTGAGGCTTGACACTGCTCGCCCTGACGCATGCATGGAGGAAGGAAGCCTTGTCAATTTAGTGAGCAGCTGGCATGAGTACAGTGGCCTGACCTCAAACCAGCTTAAGGCTTTAAGTCCTCTCTGAGAGTCTGCACTTGCAGCCTATCCCCTTCCTAGTGAGAAAGGAAGTGGGGAGGGTTAAGTATAGCCACTCTGGGCTCATCAGGACACTTGATCACTCCAGAGTTTTTAATAGCTCCCAGGAAGTGATGCCACTCTCAGTGCTCAGCTGAAATACCAACCCCAGGAATATTAACTCCATTTCAAACAGTTCTGGCCATTCTGAGCCTGTTTTCATGATTGCTCATCCCTTGTTCTCCACTAGAGGGGCTAAGCTTGACTGCCCTAGCCAGGCAAGCACAGTCATGTGTGTTTTATTCAGCATTATTATGCAAAAATCCACTAGTTGAGATGGTTTGTTTTAGGATAGGAAATGAAATTGCCTCTCAGTGACAGGAATGGCCCGAGCCTGCTTCCCTTTTTGATTTTTTTTTTTAACTGACGGATGGTGCAGCATGTCTACATGGTTGTTTGTTGCTAAACTTTATATAATGTGTGGTTTCAATTCAGCTTGAATAATAATCTCACTACATGTAGCAGTACATTATATGTACATTTATGTAATGTTAGTATTTCAGCTTTGAATCCTTGATATTGCAATGGAATTCCTACTTTATTAAATGTATTTGATATGCTGGTTATTGTGTGTGATTTAAACTTTTTTTTTCTTTCTCCCTTTTCTGGTTGTGCGCTTTCTTTTACAACAAGCCTCTAGAAACAGGTAGCTTCTGAGAATTACTGAGCTATGTTTGTAATGCAGATGTACTTAGGGAGTATGTAAAATAATCATTTTAACAAAAGAAATAGATATTTAAAATTTAATACTAACTATGGGAAAAGGGTCCATTGTGTAAAACATAGTTTATCTTTGGATTCAATGTTTGTCTTTGGTTTTACAAAGTAGCTTGTATTTTCAGTATTTTCTACATAATATGGTAAAATGTAGAGCAATTGCAATGCATCAATAAAATGGGTAAATTTTCTGATTCATGTGGCTGTTTTTGACTTCTGTGATGGGGTATAAAGGAGATCATCAAATGACACCTTTGGAGTAGCTGAACACACTGCAGAACATCACTAGGGTATTAAAGCCATTCTTTCTTTATATAAATATCCATAGTGGAAATGAATAGAGCTTGGTAAAGAATATTTTGTAAGAATGTACTGCCTAGGGCCCTTTACTTTTGCATCATCTGCTTCTGACCCTTTGAAAGAGGCAGATGACTTTTGAGACAGGCTAATTAAACTTTTTTTTTTTTTGAGACAAGAGTCTGAAGCTGTCACCCTGGGTGGAGTGCTATGGCATCACAGCACACAGCAATCTCAAACTCTTGGGCTTACGCAATTCTCTTGCCTCAGCCTCCCAAGTAGCTGGGACTACAGGCGCCTGCCGCAACACTTGGCTATTTTTTGGTTGTAGTTGTCATTGGTATTTAGCAGGCCCAGGCTGGATTCAGACCCGCCAGCTCTAGTGTATGTGACTGGCTCCCTAGCTCTGAGCTACAGGTGCCACGCCAGACTAATTAAACTTTGTTTCCTAAGATATTTCAGGAAACATCTAAAAGTAGGAATCGGCTCGGTGCCTGTGGCTCAAGTGGCTAAGGCGCCCAGCCACATACATCTAAGGTGGCGGGTTCGAATCCAGCCGGGACCTGCCAAACAACAATGACGACTGCAACCAAAAAATAGCCGGGTGTTGTGGTGAGCGCCTGTGGTCCCAGCTACTTGGGAGGCTGAGGCAGGAGACTCGCTTGAGCCCAGGAGTTGGAGTTTGCTGTGAGCTGTGATGCCACGGCACTCTACCCAGGGGGATAGCTTGAGGCTCTGTCTCAAAAAAATAAAAGTAGGACTGAAAGTAAGAGTTACCACAGGAAGATGCTATCTTTTCCCTCCTTTCTTTCTTTCTTTTTTTTTTTTTTTTTGAG